TTATAACATTGTCAAAGATGAGTTGATTGAGTTGTGGATGTCACAAAATTATCTTAATTCAATTGGAAACAAAGAAAAAGAAGCGATAGGCGAAATGTACTTTGATAACTTAGTAATGAGATCTTTCTTTCAAGAATTTGAGAAAGATGGTCTTGGAAATATAACGGGGTGCAAGATGCATGATGTTGTGCATGACTTTTTACAATTTCTAACTAAGAATGAATGCTTAGTTTTGGAGGCTGAGGGTGGTAATAATAAGAGAAAAATGGAGTTTGATGGATGTACGAAAGTTCGTCATTTGACATTAATGTTTGCACCCGAAGGTCCACTAATTCCGAGTTCCTTGTGCAACTGCAAGAATTTACGGACTCTTGCAACTTTTGATTCAAATATTACTAGTTTTGGTCAAGAGTTAATTTCACAAGTAAAATGCCTTAGAACGTTGAATCTGAGTTGTAACGTCTTGAAAGAAGTTCCAAATGATGTTGGAGAATTGGCACATTTGAGGTATCTTGATTTTTCTAATAATCATGATTTGATGAAATTGCCAGACACCATGTGTAATTTAATCAATCTGCAAACCTTGAGACTCATTGAGTGCTGGGCACTTGAAAGATTACCTGAAGGCATGGGAAAGCTGATTAACTTGCAGCATCTTCATGTCAAGCATTGTCCTAGTCTAAAGTTGCCTAAGGGGATTGCAAGGTTAACAAGTCTACGAACACTAGATGAAGTTTACATCCATGGCGATGATGATGTTGATAACAACAAAGAAGCATTATTCGAGTTAAGTGATTTGAGAAACATGGACCAGCTTCGTGGGAGTTTCCGAATAGAATTTCTGGAAGATCTAAAGGACGCGAGGCAGGCCGAGAAAGCGCATTTGGTGAACAAAAATTGCCTTGTCAGTCTGGAATTCGAGTTCCCCCTAGCTGATGAAACAGCGCAACACATCGCGGAAGAAACAGTGAATGCCTTACAACCACCTCCAAATATGGAATCCTTATCTATTTCTGACTACAGTGGCACCACACTCCGGCCCCATTGGATGTCGTCGTTAAACAAATTGAGAAGCCTTACCCTTAAATATTGCCAGTTTGTTGAGTTTGTGCCTCCTTTGGGGAGATTGGAGTCCCTTGAAGTACTGGTGATAGTCAATTGGGATAGATTGAAAAAGGTAGGAGTTGAGTTTTTGGGAATAGATGGAACAATAGAAACGCAAACATCCTCATCACCACTTATTTTATTCCCAAGTTTGAAAAGACTTGAATTCAATGATATGACCATGTGGGAAGAGTGGGAAGGAATGACAGGTTGGAGTGAAGAAGAGGATTCTCAGAAGACAATTACAATAATGCCTTGTCTTTCTTCCTTACTAATTTATGATTGCAGAGTACTAAGAACGTTGCCCAACTTCTTACGAAATACACCACTGAAGGAGTTGGTCATCGATGAGGAATGCTCTCCAGCACTTGCACAAGGTTGCCGAAAAGGCAGAGGAGAGTGGCCCAAGATTTCTCACATCCCAAACATCAAAGTTGGTTTCGAATTTGTACAAAAAGACGGAGTTTACCAAATTGATGATGATGAGCCGCCAAGTGCTGCTTCCACATCTTCTTCTGGTAATGTCTATTAAGATTTCATTTTGTTAATGTCTATCTATATTATTCATTTATCATCACAAATTTTCTTATTTTCTTTATGTTTGTTTTTTTCTTTGGGAAATTCCAAACTGATGATGAAACAAACTTTTGAATTTGGCTTTAAAAAACCTCACATGCGGTGGGGGCAAAGTAAAGACAAATATAAAGTCGTTGGAGAATGTTTTTATTTTTTTATATTTTGCAAATATTTTTTAAGAGGATATATAATATAATATAATATATATTTTTTAATGGTTTGAAATTCATTGGGTTATGTAGGTATTAAAAAATTTCTCAAAAATTGTCTCGGGCTAGGCCTGGCCCTACCTGGCCAGGGCTAGATCCGTGACAACAACCCCCATTTCCAAATTGTACGTACTCTACTGCTTATACGACGAATGTTGTGTAGAAATTTATCTGTCATCTACACTTATTGAAGTTGAAGAAGATTTTGATTTTCTTATGTCAGCAGTTGAAGGTATTTTCTGGTATGCAAAGAGGGAAGTCTCATTTGAATTCACACTTTGAAGATAATCTTGTTGGAAGCGTGTATGTTGTCCAATGCAGTAGGGAAAATAATTATAATATCTTATATATATGTACAGGCAATAATTCAATCATGAACTCTGTTGAGATGCTTTATTATATTATGATCTATGTTGAGATGTTGTTATATATCACTCTCATCTGAAATATCAAATAATATGTACAGTATACCCAATAATTCAATCATCAACTCTTGATAGTCTAAACTACTCAAATTTATGAGCAGAGGAATCGAACTCGGGCTCAAAGGGTTGACACATTTTTCATGGTCGACTGGCTACATCTGGCTAATGCTACTAGCTTTTATATCTGATTTTCATGTGTTAAACATTAATGCACACTTGTGTGATAAAACTAGAAAATTCTAGAACAATTGAGAGAATTACTAAATAAAAGTTGGTTGACTCTTACTAGAACCATCCTAATAATCATCTAATGTAATTGTAACTAGAGAATTCTAGAATTATAGGATAACTAGTGTCTATTTTAGACAGTCGATTACTATGCACAACCGACTTGTCCAGTAATTTGCCGACTTAGATAGTCGGTTTAGCACCTCTATGAATATGCATGCAGCCCACTTATGTAATCAAGCTGAAAACTACCAGCTGTCCTATATCTAAAGCTTTGTACCTTTCCTACTCCATTCAAGTAAAACTACTTTGTTACTCTTTCAAAACCTCTTTTTCACATGAAAATTTATTCAACTATAATGCATGTTATACTAAATATATTGGATGCGAGATCTTGTGTTCAATTTTCTCATGCTCACATGCCGCTTATATTAAAAAGAAAAAACTCATGACAATTTCAGTCCCAACCCATCTCAAGTTTCATTTTGGTCCGTAAATTTCCATAGCAAGCATTTTCGTAATCATACTTTTTTAATGCGTTAATTTCAGTTTGGTACCCTAAAGTTGAAAAAAAACTTACTTACACCGGGGATACCACTATGGAGCTATCCTGAGCCAATCACCCATTGCCATGTATTTTAACTTTCTGACATGGCAATGCGCGATAGGCTTGCAATACCGCCCTTACATGTAAGTTCTCCTGAAGTTGTACTCTTAAGGCATGTTCGTCCCTACTTTTTCAATATTAACAATGTGGTACGCGACTTAAAAATTTGTTGCAATGTTATGTCATTACGTTCACCGCTCTTGATTTGTACTAGTCCCTGGTTGTATATGCTCTGCTTTTACTAAAATGAAGTAAAAAATTCAGGACCAAGAGAGTAATAATAAATGAAGTCAGCAGGCAAGAAATTCAAGCTGCCATTACCAAAGCAGAGGAGCTGAGAGCTCTTCATGCTGCTTTGGTGCAAGGAAGCAGCCCTGCAAGCAAATCTCAGATTCCCTTCTTCCCCTGCCTCACGCCCTGCTTCTCAGTTCTCTGCTCAAGACTACCCCTGTTTTCACACTTGTGAGTTCAAATTTCCAGCCATGCTTCATTTGCTTCATTTTTACTCTCTAGTTTGGTCTTTTCTCTGTTTTCTTTATCATTGTGAGACTTTGTTTTCAATGCCCATTTGCATTACTTTAGGATGTTGTTTCAGTTCCCAATTATAGTTTTGACCTCTACCTAGTAAGTGAGCTTTCAATATTTTTTATTCCATCACTAATTAATTATTTTTAATTTTTTTTATGGATATAATATTTCTCCAGAAATTTTTTATTGTTTACCAATTAAGGCATTTTCCCCCTTATTTAAGTTAGTTCTTTGGTTTGAAGTTTGCTATTTCCAGTGAAATCAAATACATAATGTATAATTTATGGTTTCTGAAATACTGGAAAGGTTCACTAAATTTTGAGATATTATAGCTGAGGATCATAAATCTGTGACTCTCATGTGCAAACCAAATCACCATAACATAATGCTCCTTCAAAACTACTGTGAGTATGACATGTGGATGTGGCTATTGTGCATCTACACTTTTGAGACCTAATAATTTCAGGTTTTCCATTGTCCTTTTGCCATTTTCTTCTCAGCTTTCGGCAGCTGGAATTCTATTTAATTTCTTTATAGTGCCAATGAGCGTGAACAGATTGAAGAGCTTGCTCTCTCTCTCTCTCTCTCTCTCTCTCTCTCTCTCTCTCTCTCTCATTTCATACAAAATTTGGTTGCTACCAAATTTCCTGGAGCTATTCTGTTTTAAACCTGGCATGTCCGAACATGTATAGTCTGCAATTGATCACAAGCTCTGGAGATTATATATATTCTGTTTTCATGTGTAGAGTATTCTGTTCTTCAGATGCATTACTTTTATCTTCTCTTCATTAATTAATGCACTCATCATGTGCAATGCAATTGACCAAACAAGTTTTTCGAATACGCAGGTCCGTTGCAAACGGTGCTTTAAAATGGCTGAGAGACGACCTCTAGTCTGGTGTGTTTATGAGGTCTCTCTGAGAGTTGTGATTGTAATTGAGAAAACAAAGCAAGCCATAGCCATGGATGATATCTCACCACAGCTTCTGCAGTACATATTTAATTTAGGCATAGCAACCTTGGTTTCACTAATATCTTTTTCACTTTTGTATGCAGCCCCTAGACTCATATCCATTTTGGGCTACTTTTGGCCTCTCTTTGCCTCAACAACTCTGTTCTTGGTGGGAATAATCACCTTTGGTTATATTTCTCAGCTGTCAACAGAATCACAAGAAAGCTTAGAAAGCTAATCTCATCACAACAATACATGTACTGATATCTCTATATTCAAATTCCCATTATAAATCATAATCTCAGCACAAGATGGCAAAAAGAAGAAAGGCAGATCATTAGAGTCCCTGCAACGGGAAAAAAAAAAAGCCAAAAACTGAAAGCCTAAAGATGAAGAAAAAAGCAATTAAGGGAATGCTCCAAGTAGAATTAGATGCCTAATTTTATACAACTTACAGCAAACAACAGAGATAGACATGACTTGGCCCTTCTAAAAGATTAATCAAATGAGATCAAATCAAACGAAGGATAACCAATTCATGTCCAAAAGATTAATCAAAATTCCACTTCCCTTTTTCCTTTGGCATCACAGAAACATGACGCTGGGAGAGAATCTCAGCATTTAAAAAAATTGGGTTTTCCCCAGACAGCACGAGTGTGTTCTGAGTTCTCTTCAGTCTTCATCATCGAATTATGTTCCCCATCTTCTCCTCCTCCTGTAAACAATAAAACAATTAAACATCAGCAACAGAGAGTGTAAAATAATATCATAAACTGCTAAAAAAATAACATAAAACTGCAGACAAAGGATTCACCTTTTGCTCTTTTCCTTGATTTCACAGAAACAGCAGATAATTGACAAACTATTTTAAAGCTATTTTCTTTGAGAGTTTCTATTGCTATCAGTGAATCCGACCCTTACATAAAAAACATAGAAGGGATCAAACGGTTATGCTACCATATACGCATATACAGGCATAGATACTATCTTTCAGTTCATCTAAACAGTCAAAGAAAGAAAACAGAAGCCAAACCAGTCACCCGAACTCTCCAACAGCTCAAATACCGACTCGTCCAACTCAGTCTCACCCGCAGAGTTCGTCCCGCCCTGAATCAACTCAAACTCGGCGGTCTCGATCAAAGGCTGAGTCTTTTCTTCGGTCATCGAATCGGACGATGAAGACGTGGCTCGGGTGTGAGGAGACAACCACTTGGCCTTGATGTACTTTGTTTGGGACATCCACCCACTGCCCTGCACTGGTGGATCTAGGTGGTGGGTATGGGGGGAGGTTCGGATCGGGGTTGGGGAAGACGATATGGGGGTGGCGTTTTCTGGGTTTGGTTTGATTGTTCTTGTTCTTGTTTTTACTTTTTTCATTTTTTTGTTATTTATTCTTTAAGATATATTTGTTCTTGTTCTTGTTTTTTTGTTTTAATTTTTTGGTGCGTTGGGAGGTTGCAATGGGGTGGAATTGGGTTTGGCTGGGTTCGTTTTTTATTTTTATTTTTTCAATTTGAAGATTTTATTATACTTATTTTTAAAACTAGCCCCTTATTTTATATTTTATTTTTAATATGAAGAAAAGATAATATAGATAGTTATGTTTCATATAAAAGTAGGATCTATTATCTGATTTTGTTTTTAATTTTAAAATTTTTTAATATGAAAAAATATAAATTTACCGTATTATCCTCATTTAATTAATAATTTCAATTTTTAATGTTTCAATTAACCAATAGTATTTTCTGGTATTTTGAATGTTTCACCATTCTCTGCTTTTTGCTTTATATATAGATGAATGAATTTTTTTAATAATTTGTTGACCGGAATACCCCTCCACAACTAACAGAAGTTAAAAAAATGAGTCCCACTTTTGACACGTCAGCATTAGATAGATTTACTAACAGTTTGGCTAACAGAGGGGGCAGATTGTAGTGTTTTCACAACGTTGAGTATGTATCAGTAAATGTTTCCAAAATCAGGTGTGAACTCATAAATGACCCTATAGGTTGGGGGTTTACTGTAATTTGTCTTTAAAAAAATTTGATAGAAATTAATGATTGTTCTTAAATTCCTTTAAATTGAAATTACAAGGATAAAATTGACCAAATTGAAACGACAGGAACCAAAGTGGTAAAAAAGGCAAACTACAAGGACCAAAAAGTGACGTTTTGCCTTTTCTAAACTCATGTCTATGGGTTAAGAAGCCCTAGACCTCACATATACTTTTAGCTACTTGTCGATCTCATTGCTTCACTACAGGTTAGGAGATAATAAAGGCCGTTCGATATCCTACTTGAACCCAACTTTACAAACTCAAAAACAGATTTGAAGTCCAAAACTTAAAGAAACCCGTTTGGTAGGCCCATTTTTAAACCCATAACCAAAACAAACTCAAAAACACCCACATTATTGAAAAAAAAAATAAAAAATGAGGTTTTATAAATTTTTTTTTCTCTCTCTCTCTCTCTCTCCTCCCTCTCTCGTCGTCTCAGGGGAACCCTCAAAAGTTTTGATTAGAGAAAGTAATTTTCTAGGTTCTGGGTCGACGCCGTTGTTTGCAGCTCCGTCAAGGTCTCATTCATCCACTACTGGACCCAAAATTGAACAATCTTTTCTCATGTTTTGGGTTTCTATTGAAATCTCACAAATTTTTCTTTCATCTTTTAATTTCAATTTGTGAATCTAGGGTTTCTGATTTTAATTTCAATTTTATTTTTTTATATCTTAAAAATAGTTTGGTGTTCAATACCAAATGAGTTTTTAGATCTTAAAATTACTATTTGAAAACTCATCTTTTTAGAAAAAATTATAGTTTTTGAGTTTCTTTTTTGAGTAAAATACCAAACATGGCCTAAGCCTTTTATTTATTTAATATTTTGAATACGAGGCTGTTTGGAGGATTCTTCGACCAAGCAAACAATAAAATAATATGGGAATAAGCCTTGTATTTATTTATTTTTTTGAATAAGAGGTTGTGATGCCTGAATTAAAAATAAAAGTAAGGAATTAGAAGAAAAGAAACAAACAAGTTAAGGAAGGGATAAATTCTATTTTTCTTGACTGGCAAGTGTGTGTTTGTTGTTGTCGTGATGCCAGAATTGCCTTACAAGCATTCTTTAGCTTCAACATTATAAAACTAGCTGGGTAGAAATGAGAATGCCTACAACACTTCCCAACACTACGTACCTTGTTATCATTTGCATTAAAAGATTTCTTCCATTTCTTCTTTTCCTTTTTCTTCCACTAGAAATCCATTTCTAGAGCAAACAAATGGCTGAAGCACTCATTTCCGTGCTCCTACAACAGTTGGCCTCAATCATCAAAAAACAAGTAAAACAAGAGGTTAGACTAGTTGTGGATGTTAAGAAAGAAGTGGCAAAACTCACCCGCAATTTCAAAGCTATTCAAGTTGTGCTCGAGAATGCAGAGGAGAGGCAAATGAAGGAGGTGGACGTGAGATACTGGCTGGACAGTTTGAAGGATGTATCCTACGAGATGGACGACGTGTTGGACGAGTGGAGTACTGAAATTCTGAAACTACATATTCAGAAACAAGGTAATGCCAAGAAGGTATGTTTCTACATTCCTGCCGCTTGGTTTTGTTTTGGCCATCAAGTAGTTCTTCGTCTTGACATTGCTAGGAAGATAAAAGAACTAGATGAAAGATTAGCTCAGATTGCTAGTGAAAGACAAAACTATAACTTTCAACCCCCGAAAAGAGGAATTGAACAAATTGAACAACGAAAAAGTTCTTCTTTCGTTGATCAGACATTTGGTCGTGAAGTTGAAAAGGACATATTAGTAAAAAAGTTGCTGAGTGAGAGTGGTCAAGCAAGGCCAAACTTCCTTGTCATCCCAATTGTAGGGATGGGAGGAATTGGTAAGACAACTCTTGCCCAACTTGCATATAATGATGAAAGGGTTCACGCCCATTTCGACAATAGAATATGGGTTTGTGTCTCAGATCCTTTTGATGAGATCAAAATTGCGAAAGCCATCATTGATGTTCTGAAAATGGGGACAAGTACCCCAGCTTCAAATGAGTTGCAAACACTCTTGGAAATTGTACTTGAGTGCGTTAAGGGCAAGAAATTCCTTCTTGTCCTAGATGATGTGTGGAACGACGAGGATAGAAAGTGGGAACCATTAAAGCTAGCTTTACAAAATGGGGCTCTGGGTAGTAGAATATTGGTGACCACAAGAAAGGAGGATGTTGCTATGATGATGGGAGCATCTGTTGATACGGTCAATTTGAAGGAGTTGAGTGATGAAAACTGTTGGAAATTGTTCTGTCACGTAGCATTGGGTGATAGGGAAATAAGTGAATATAGAACATTTGAAGTCATTGGTAAAGAAATTGTGAAAAAGTGTAAGGGCCTGCCCCTTGTTGCAAAGACATTGGGTGGTCTCATGCGCCACAAGAAAACGAGGAAAGAATGGGAAGACGTTTTGAAAAGTAAGACATGGGAGTTAGATGTGGTTGAGAAACAAGTTTTCCAACCGTTGTTGCTAAGTTATTATGATTTGGCCTCGACTGTCAAATGTTGTCTTTTATATTGTGTTATTTTCCCAAAAGGTTATTTGATTGAAAAAGATAACTTGATTGAGTTATGGATGTCACAAAATTATCTTAATTTAATTGGAAATAAAGAAAAAGAAGAGGTGGGCGAAAAGTACTTTAATGACTTAGTAATGCGTTCTTTCTTCCAAGAATTTGAGAAAGATGATCTTGGAAATATAACCCGGTGCAAGATGCATGATGTTGTGCATGACTTTCTACAATTTCTAACTAAGAATGAATGCTTTGTTTTGGAGGGTAAGGGTGGTAATAAGAGAATAATGGAGTTTAATGGAGAAAATAAGGCTCGTCATTTGACATTAATGTTTGCACCCGAAGGTGCATTTCCGAGTTCCTTGTACAGCTGCAAGAATTTACGGACTCTAGCAACTTTTGATTCAAATATTAGTACATTTGGTCGAGAGTTAATTTCGCAGCTAAAATGCCTTAGAACGTTGAACCTGAGTTTTAACTCCATAAAAGAAGTTCCGAATGAGGTTGGAGAATTGGCACATTTGAGGTACTTTGATTTGTCTTATAATGAAGATTTGATGAAATTGCCAGACAGCGTTTGTAATTTAATGAATTTGCAAACCCTGAGACTCATTTGGTGCAGAAAACTTGAAAGATTACCTGAAGGCATGGGAAAGCTGATTAACTTGCAGCATCTTTATGTCATGGGTTGTTTTCGTCTAAAGTTGCCCAAGGCGATTGCAAGGTTAACAAGTCTACGAACGCTAGATCAAGTTCGCATCCTTGACGTTGATAACAACAAGGAAGCATTATTCGAGTTAAGTGATTTGAGAAAATTCGACCAGCTTCGTGGGAGTTTCCGAATAGAATTTCTGGAGGATTTGAAGGATGCGAGGCAGGCCGAGAAAGCGCATTTGGTGAACAAAAATTGCCTTGTCAGTCTGGAATTGCGCTTCTTCTTTGGTGGAACAGATGAGATTCCTCTTGTGGCAAGCCAGGAAGAAACACTGAATGCCTTACAACCACCTCCAAATCTGGAATCCTTCTCTATCTATCACTACAGTGGCACCACACTCCGGCCCCATTGGATGACGTCGTTAAACAAATTGAGAATCCTTACCCTCGGATATTTTGAGTATGTTGAGTTTTTGCCTCCTTTGGGGAGATTGGAATCCCTTGAAGTATTGGAGATACAAGATTGGCCGAGCTTGAAAAAGGTGGGGGTTGAGTTTTTGGGAATAGAAACGCAAACATCGTCGTCGTCATCCTCATCATCTCCAATGATTTTATTCCCAAATTTGAAAAAACTTGTATTTGAGTTTTTGCCCATGTGGGAAGAGTGGGAAGGAATACCAGGGTGGAGTGAAGAAGAGGATTCTCAGAAGACAATCACAATAATGCCCTGCCTTTCTTCCTTGCAAATTGGTTATTGCGGTTTGCTTAAAACATTGCCCAACTTCTTACGAAATACACCGCTTAAGGAGCTTGTCATCGGTTTCGGCTGTCGGATTCTTGCACAAGGTTGCCAAAAAGGCAGAGGAGGAAGTGAGTGGCGCAAGATTTCTCACATCCCAAACATCAAAGTTTGGATCGGACGAAGTAGCGAATTTGTACAAAAAGACGGAGTTTGGATCGGACAACAACAAACTGATGATGATGAGACGCCAAGTGTCGCTTCCACCTCTTCTTCAGGTAATTGTTATTCATTTATCATTACAAAATTTCTTCTTTTCTTTATGTGTTTTTTTTTTTCTTTGGGAAATTCCATGTCAATTTATTAAATACCGAAGGACAAGAACAAACTTATGAATTTGGCTGAAGGAGTAAACTTGGGAGATCGTGCTTCAAACTTGGGACATAAGTCTACCTTGAACTCGAACGTGAAGATGAAGACACGTACTCCACTCCTTAATTCCAGGTACTCTATCATCTAGACTTACTGAAGCTGAAGGTTTTTATTTTCCTATCTGATGATATTCTATCATGGCATATGGCATGGGATTTATTTTCTCTGGGATTTATTTTCTCATCTCAGCAGCTGAAGCTTTTTTATGGCATTCAAAGAGGGAAGAGTGGATGATGTGATCCGGAAGTGAAGTCTCATTTGAGTTCACCTTTGTACAGTAATGAAAATAATTACAATATCCGATAGCCAATAATGTAATTATGATCTCTGTTGAGATGTTGTTATATATCACTCTCATCTGAAATGTCAGACACGTACATTAATAGCCAATAATTCACGAACTCTTGATATTCTTGGTGTGAATCTACAGATACACTTTTTCGTTTAAGAAAGATTTTTTGGTGGTTGTCTTCCTTTCATATAAAGCTTTCAAACTTCCTCCACAATGAAACTGATGTAGTCACTTTTGAAACACGATGAAATACTTTTTCCTTCAAGCCACTGTCAAATAACCCCAATGGTTCTCCGGTTCAGCTTCCAATCTTCCTCATTCTTTTTTCCGGCTTGTCGCCTTCTTGGGTTTGATATACAATTTCCATGTAATCTGGGATTTTCTTATCTCAGCAGCTGAAGATTTTCACTGTATTTGAATTTACTTTCAAGTAGACCGAATGGATGTTACAGGCAGTGCTTTCAAACGGATGTGGAATAAATCACTGGAATTCTTGTAGCAGCTCCACAAATATTGATGAATTACATTCTTTTGGGGTTCGCAGTTTCGGAATACAGGGCTCATGAAGTGACTGAAACTGGACACAAGGGTTAAGCTACAACAGTAATTGTGTGTGTAACAATAGCTTCCATGATGTAGCATGATTCTAACATTCATGACCCGCAGAAATGCAGATATTGAGTTTTAAACAGAACAAACTCTTTAAGATCAGAAATTGTTTTGCATCATCAACCTACCCAGGAAAATCTGATTGCTTATACGTTCTTATAAAACCAGCTAAATTTGTCTTATAGGCCTGCAAGAGGATATGTGCTAAATTACAGGCTTGCATTCCTAGCTTCGCCCCTCTGCACGGCTCTGCTTGAACAAAAGCAAAATGGCTACAATAACAGGAGTTAATATCATGATAAGAGCCTGTACGATGTTGGGTCTGGTTATCTCAGGAAAAACTATGCTTCCATACTTTATAACAGCTGCAGCCACAATGGAACCAGCTACAACCTTCCCCAGATATTCCAGATCGTCCTGTTTACAACAAAGAAAGCATTTAGATCATGTGAATATTTAAAACCAGTGCGTGATATAACAAAAGATACATGGTTCCTTTTAAATCTTGCGGTTCCTGATTAGTTTGTGAGGAAGGAATTTTGAGCAGATTTTTTACAATCTTCTCTTCCAATAAATCAGGCTCTTTCGCTGGGCCTCTTATCAGCTCCATTCCCTTCATTTTAGCAAAAGGACTCATGTACCAGATGCATTATTCAGTGCTTGGTTTGGTCACGAACATTTTCAATGTTCAGTAAATTGCTTGCTTCTACAGGGTTGGACTAGTCATATGTAGACCCAAAATCTGCAAATTTAGTCAAATGCTGTGTTTGCTACTTGCTGGAGAATCAGTGGAGTCAACGATGATCCTCCTATAAATTGCAGCTTTGTTTCTGTTCTGTTTTCCCCATGACATATCAAGCCACCCTATACTTCAAAAAGACAGAACAATCCAAAACCACAAAAGAAGCCACTTTCTTTAGTCCATTTTCTTTGGACGTACTTTCCCCGGCTAGAGAACCTAATGAAATATATACTTGGCTAACTCAAACAAAACTAAGCGAAATCTCAGATGACAATAGAAAACAAGACTGAGAAGGGGACAAAAAATTCATGTGCTGATAAAATCATCCTCATCATGCTCTATAACTGTATACCAGAAAAAACAAATGTGGCACCAAATATGGACAGTACACAGTAGATACTCAGACCATTAGTTTTGTAAAGCCCATTCACAAAAGATTGGCGCCATCAAGTATGTACTTAGACACCTCAAGCATGTCAGATTGGCTTGTGAAACATGTGTGTTGTGCAGAAACTCTCTTTGATTTTGTTCTCAATGGACTATGTAACAAACCCTCACAACTCACAAGGATGAATTGAACACTCACACACTTGTTTTCTCTCCTTGGTTTCTAGACTTACAAGACTCCAACACTTGGACTCTCTCCTTGCTCACTAGGTCTCAGCTACTTTGCTCCCTTGCATCTGCTCTCCTCTTTATAATTCTGGTGTAGTTCAGCCTTTCAATTTAGGAGGGAAGCTTCCTCCAGCTGCAAACCCAACAACCAGCCACTCTCTTCAATGCCTAGGGATTGGAAGCTTGCAGCAAGTCAACCAGCACCAATAAATGCTCTTCCTAGTTCCCAAAACTCATTGCCAACGTTCCTAGAGCTCAAAAATGACTTAAGGAACCGTTGCATTGGAATTGGGAACAAAGCACATGGGAAAACTCCTTGAGAACGGGCGGAAAATTTGACTGCAGAGCAAAACCGACCAGTCCTTCAACTGATCGTCTGAAGTCTGGAGCAATCTTGTGCTCTCTATAAAAAAAAGGACCAGTAACATGCTGAACAATTCTTCTTCCTTTGCATATGTTTTCGTTGAGCCAAACAACAACAACATGTTTCTTTTGGATTGGCTTTGTACGAGATCACAAATCAGGAAATTTGAAGCCATCGATAAAAGAGAACAAACTTAATATTTGATAAACAACTCCATCTGGTCAAAGTTTGATCATTTTTTAGCCAAGCAAGCAAAATTGAAATTGAAATCTTCAGATGAAAAACTAAAACCTAGACAGTTAGAAGGGGACCAAGAGTTCATATCTATTATGCTAAGAAAACAATCACGCTCGCTCTTTACCTGGGCCTGAATCTCTACCGGACACAGATCTCTCATACATATATTGAAGCTTACATCTCTTTTTTTATTTTTTATTTCTTTAACTACATGAGTGAATTACCAAAGAAAATAATTGTAGCATTGAATACAGACAATCATATTCAATATGCTTGTACAAAATGAACAAAGTTGCTATCTATCTCAGAAATGAACACTAAATTTCCCTGCAGAATCAGAAAAAATATTTCCCACCATAGTTTCATATCATAAAATCCTTACAAGCTTATTTCAAATACCCAATAGACATGTAAACCCATCAAAGACAATCGAATAGCGATGAGAGACAGAAAGCAAACTACCCACAAACCCAAAGAAAACAGAGGCCAAGACCTAAATTTCAAAGAACAAGAAAAAGGTAAATGGGTGGTACCTGAGAGTTTGAAGTGCTTGTAGTGTTAGCGATGCCTGAACTTTCTTCTTCTTCTTCTCCTCCTCGTCTTTGAGGGTCAAGAGCTCGGATAGGCAAAGACCCTTTTACCCTTGTGGAAGAGAGGCAGTTTGGGTAGTGGATGGCGAATTTTGTGTAACCCGTGACCTTCTTTGCGGGCCTTATCCGCCGGTGGCCCGACCCGGAAGAGTAGCGGAGGCTGGAGACTCCAGTGGCTGTGGCTGAGGCAGTTGTCGCCACCATTTCTATGTCGATGACTGTTTGACTGTCGACGCAAACTGCTCGCTGTCACGATGGCCAAGCATTATGGGATAGTTCAGATGATGAAGTCGAGTCCAAACCACTATTTCTTATGTGCAACTATTTGTCATTAAGTTCAAATTGAACTAGCACTAGCTATCTGGGAGAGCTTTAATGATTGATTAATGTACTGGAAAGAAGTTTCCTGGACTTTAGCTGAAGCATGCTGTACACCTTATTTTTTGTTGGTTTTCAATTATATATATATATTTCATTTATACGAGTGTTGCTAAACGAACCCTAAAATTAATTGAGTACATCTTACTACAAAAGTATTTATTGAATTATTGATTTACCCTAATATAAAATGACCAAAAAGAATATATGAAATTGTGAAACAAATATAATTTTAATAAGTACACCCTATTAACCATATTCAACCCTAATCAAGAGATTGTTTGGTGCCCATCTTCGTGATCTGCTAGTCAGAATGGCTTCTTGGAGTTCTTTCTTCTTTCTTGTGCTACTGATTCCGTTTCTGATACAAAGTTCTTTATGCATCGAAGCATATCCTACCTCTATTAATTGGGACACTAAATATTACTTCTAGATAACTCATAAGCAAGCACTACTGATGGCAGTACAATATAAAATGCTACAAAATGATTAAAATTGGTTGAGTAAGATAACTAATAATCTTAAATTTGAAGAGGTCAGGCATTGGAGGGGTTCTCATACCTCCAAAGTGAGGACACCACGAAAGTGCCTCTCCTCTTGCTTTTTGGTGTAGCCAAGCTGTGAAATAAAGAAAGGGTCAAATTATATCCGGATATCAATTTGCAAGAGTGAAAGGAGCAGCAATAACAACAGCAACACATTTACAATCCAATATTCTGAAGTAAAATAAAGAGAAATAATGCAAAGAAAACAAATGACTCAATTCTGACATATTGGGACATATATATAATCTACGAGCTAGCACGTGCTACTCCATCCTTTATAAGACTTCTTGTCTGGCAGTAAGACATTGTCTTATAAGGACTCAAACAAAAAAGATTGGAACATACAGAAAACTATACATGAAGGCTTTCCTCTCTGATAATAATCAAAAAACAAATAGAGGCTTTCCTCTCTAAACACCTCGTGGGGAAAATTGTCATCCCCACAGTCAATATGTAATTTTTTTAATTTTTGGGAACAAATAATCAGAAACTTGGCCTTGAAGTCTTTGTTTGTTTTATCAGTTACGTTTTGTTTATCAACAATAAGTTTCTCATTTAAGAACTTCAATATCAAGTACTATACTATTTTTGTTATTAATAATTATTTTTTAAGCAAAGCGATAATAGTTTCTCATTACACTATGGCCCAGTTTCCAAAGGATGGGAAACGAAGTTTATATAATTTTCACGGAATGAATTTGAGGGGAAATCACTTTCCATGTCATTTTCCAATGGATGGGAAATGAATATTCATTTCTCATGTTTAGTAATGCCCAGAAAGTAATCGGGAGATATCACCTTGTTTCATTTCCCATGTTTGTTTTGAGTAGGAATGGAAAACAAAGTTTGTATAATTTTCCAATTATACCCATATTAAATCAATTAAAAAAAATGCACTTCATGATATATTGTAATTTTAAATTGTTAATAAGGACAAAATGGTCATGAAAAATGTGCATTTAATGTTACCTCATTTTCTCAAACTTTCTCATGAAGAGGAAAAACAAAACCCAGATTTTTTTTGGGTTCTCATGTGTCATGCAATCATTTCTCATGCCTAGACTTACCAAACATGGAAAAGCAATTGATTTCTCATCCTCAAGCCTCATTTCCCATGAACCAAACTGAACCTATATAGTCTCGCTCACCTAAGGACCTAAAAATTAGGCCATGTAAGCATTTAGGTTGTTAGATAAACGGGACTGAGATTATATATATCAAACTTATCAATCCAATACAAAACCAAAACCAAAACCAAAAGATTTTTTCTCTTCCCATACTACACCACCGGCAATAAGAATTTTAGTCACCTTTTTATTTGGATGGGTACGCTTGAGTTTAGCCATTTATGTTTTATGCTTCCAGTTTTGTTTTTAATTTGAATAACATAATGGGTTAGTCTGATCTTATTTCTTTGTAAGTGAACTTTGAGAAAAATTAAGCAAATAACTATTGTTATTAAAGCCAGATTCCTCCATTAACCTTTCCTTGATCTTGTTCTATCTATATTAATTTCCATAAAAAGCTTGTTTTATTAGCCGCATCATATAGGTTCTAGCAAGCAAAAGAGAACCAACCATCAGTTCATACCAGCAAGCTTATAATCTATATATATAAAGCAAAAGGTAGATAATGGTAAAACATTCAAAATACCAGAAAATGTCCTTGGTTAATTCAAACATTAAGAATTAAAATTATTAATTAAATGAGGATCTTATAATCTATATATATAAAGCAAAAGGTAGATAATGGTAAAACATTCAAAATACCAGAAAATGTCCTTGGTTAATTCAAACATTAAGAATTAAAATTATTAATTAAATGAGGATAATATGGTAAATTCAAAAAAATTCATATTAAAAAATTAAAAATTAAAAACAAAATCAGATAATAGGTCTTATTTTTATGGAACATAACTACCTATATTATCTTTCTTTAATTCTAAATAAAAAATAAAAAATAAAAAATAAAAAATAAAAAATAAAAAAAAAAAACCAAAATGGCACATGCTCACATGTGCCAAGGGGCTAGTGTAATATATGGAAAAAGTTAATAATTAATATATTTTTTAAAGGTAATATTTTATATATAAATGTAAGACCATGAGCAATATATTTGTTTGGTGCTTATGATTGAATTGGATAACCCACTAAATTTAAGGCATGTTGAAGAAAGACATGAAGAAATTTTCTCCAAGTTGAAGGTAGAATATAGATTACTCACGAAAAAAAAACTTATCCAATCTAATCCCTTCATAATGGTAGGATATATCGACATCTTATGACTTGAACCTTCTAATTCACCTGAAATAAAAAATTGTTCACCTTTACATACCTTAAGGGCCCGTTTGATAACCATTTCAGTTTTTAGTTTTTAGTTTTCAATTTATAGTTTTTTAGTATTTATTTTTTTTAAAAATAAAAATTGAAAACTTGTTTGGCAAGTAATTTCAGTTTTTGAAAAAAATGGAAAGTGAAAACTAAACAAAAGTTGTTTGGTAACTGATTTCAGTTTTCAGTTTTATTCGAAACTTGAAAATGGAATTTTTTGAGGGTCAAATTGTGAATTTCATATCGTAGAATGAAAGTGCATGTTACAAAGAGTTTGTAGTATTTTTTTGGGTCAATTTTTTGGATTTAGGATGATTTTTTTTGGTGAATTTTGGATTTGGAGGTTCCGAGGCTTTGATTGGACCCAATTGGAAATTCTGAAGCTTTGTTGGATTTTGATTTCGGTGTGATGGATTGCTTGAGTTTTAATGAAATGAGTTATGGTAAAACAATAACGGAGAGAAATGCTAGAATTAGAAAGAAGACAAAGAGCAAACTAAGCAAATGGAACATAAAGCTTGTGCCTTTGGGTTCAGAAACTGAGGAGAAATCTGATGGAATTGGATTGGACCCAGTTGGAAATTTTGAAGCTTTATTGGAATTTTGATTTGGGTTTGGTCGAGATGAGAGAGAAGGGAGGAGTTGGGGTTTGATTGGGATGAGGGAGAGAATATGTGTGTTTTTTATCTTCTAAGTAAGTCATTTTACAAATGGATAAATTTGTTTTTAAAATTTTGAAGGTAAGGTGGGTGAGGAAATAAGATAGGTGGGTGGAATAACAACACTCAAATAATATGAGTGAATGACGAGCTTATAGTTATACCCAAGTTATAACATGAGGGAATGCTTATATTTATACTATATGGCAAGGTGATACGATCGCTAAAAATTAATCAAATTTTACTTAAAGAAATAACCAAAGTTTAAAAAGCCCTTAATTTATTCCAAACCAAAAAAAAAAGGCCTCCATTTTTCTCATAACAAAATGCTAGTCTCTCCGCATGCGCTTTCACTCATGCAAGAGGCTTTTTTTTAATCATGCGTGCGTACTTACAAAGTTTCATTTTTATTTTTTTTGCAATTGTATTTTACTAGATGCCTATATCAACAATTTTAATTTTTTATTGCCCTTATTTTTCTAGATGCCCATCTCAACAATTTCTTTTTTTTTTTT